ATATATATATATATATATATATATATATATATAAATTTCACAATACAGTTAGAACGAAATAACACACATCTATATATTTTTTAATTTTATTTTTTAACGTATTTACATTTTTTTTATTATATATATATATATATATAATAATTATATATATATTTAATCAGTATCAGTCTACGTTTAATTTGATAATATATATAATTATATATATTAATAGTAAAATACACCTAGACAGTGTACGTGTGTGTGTATATATATATATATATGATCTAAGTATATATTATTTTTTTTACACTTTTTAAATTTATTTTATTTCCAGCCAGCAGGGGGACCACATGTCATTACAGGCAGTCCCCCTGCTGGCAATGCTGCAGCCAGCTACCCTCGGCCATGTGATTGTGGGGTCCTCGCAAGGACCTCACTCTCACATGGCCGGGGGGCTTCCAGGGGGTCGGACGTGCCGCGGGGGGCTCCCTGGGAGTCCCCCCCAACCGCGATCGCCGGCGACCGGGTAAGTAGGAAAAGACCAGAGGGCGTACTATTACGCCCAGCGGCGTTTAGAGCCGCTTAGAATAGGGCGTAATAGTACGCCCTCCGGTCTTAAGGGGTTAATAACTGGTTGAACCTCCTTTGGCAACAATAACTTCAACCAAATGTTTCCTGTAGTTGCAGATCAGACGTGCACAACGGTCAGGAGTACCTCTTGACCATTCCTCTTTACAGAACTGTTTCAGTGCAGCAATATTCTTGGGATCTCTGGTGTGAATCGCTTTCTTGAGGTCATGCCACAGCATCTTAATCGGGTTGAGGTCAGGACTCTGACTGGGCCACTTCAGAAGGCGTATTTTCTTCTGTTTAAGCCATTCTGTTGTTGATTTACTTCTATGCTTTGGGTCATTGTTCTGTTGCAACACCCATCTTCTGTTGAGCTTCAGCTGGTAGACAGATGGCCTTAAGCTCTCCTGCAAAATGTCTTGATAAACTTGGGAATTCACTTTTCTTTTGATGATAGCAATCCGTCCAAGCCCTGATGCAGCAAAGCAGCCCCAAACCACCATACTTCACAATTGGTATGAGGTTTTGATGTTGGTGTGCTGTGCCTTTTTTTCGCCACACATAGTGTTGTGTGTTTCTTCCAAACAACTCAACTTTGGTTTCATCTGTCCACAAATTTTTTTGCCAGTACGGCTGTGGAACATCCAGGTGCTCTTGTGCAAACTGTAAACGTGCAGCAATGTTTTGTTTGGACAGTAGTGGCTTCCTCTGTGGTATCCTCCCATGAAATCCATTCTTGTTTAGTGTTTTACGTATTGTAGATTCGCTAACAGGGATGTTAGCATTTGCCAGTGACTTTTGTAAGTCTTTAGCTGACACTCTAGGATTCTTCTTCACCTCATTGAGCAGTCTGCGCTGTGCTCTTGCAGTCATCTTTACAGGACGGAGACTCCTAGGGAGAGTAGCAGCAGTGCTAAACTTTCTCCATTTATACCGTGGACTGATGAACAGCAAGGCTTTTGGAGACACTTTTATAACCCTTTCCAGCTTTATGCAAATCAACAATTCTTAATCGTAGGTCTTCTGAGAGCTCTTTTGTGCGAGGCATCATTCACATTAGGCAATGCTTCTTGTGAAAAGCAAACCCAGAACTGGTGTGTGTTTTTTATAGGGCAGGTCAGCTGTAACCAACACCTCCAATCTCATCTCATTGATTGGACTCCAGTTGGCTGACATCTCACTCCAATTAGCTCTTGGAGATGTCAGTCTAGGGGTTCACATACTTTTTCCACCTGCACTGTGAATGTTTACATGGTGTGTTCAATAAAAACATGGCAAAATTTAATTCTTTGTGTGTTATTAGTTTAAGCAGACTGTGATTGTCTATTGTTGTGACTTAGATGATGATCAGATCACATTTTATGGCCAATTTGTGCAGAAATTCATATCATTCCACAAGGTTCACATACTTTTTCTTGCAACTGTATAAGAGACATTTAACCCCTTAACGCTGAGTGACGGACCTTGTCCATCACGCGGTAAAATTAACCCTGGATTGCCGCTATTACGGCGATCGTAGGGTTAATGGTGCGCCAGTCTGCCTCTGTATTAGAGGCAGACCGGGAGCACCCGATAAGGCTGCCCATTACATGTGCTCGCTGTGACAGCATGTCAGAGCGAGCACATGTGCTCCATATACTAACCTTCCGCCTCCCTGCACTTCCTGATTCTGCGTGAAGTGCAGGGAGACAGATCAGTGATGATCCTGCCCCTGTTGAAAACAAAATAAAGTTAATTTAAAATCCCACCCCCCTTTACCCATTTTAATAAAAAATTAGCCCCTTCCCTTCCAATTGATCACTGACTGCAGTGATCAATTGGCAGGGATTACATTTTACTATCATTCGTTGTTTTTTAACCCCTGAGGGTTAATTCTTTTTTTTTTTTTAACCCTCAGGGGTTAAATTTATTTAATTAATTAAATATTTTAAAATTATATATTTAGCTAGCTGGGGTGGGTGGAAGTTAGTAGGGAATTGGGGGATTTGGCATTAGGCTAACTAGGGGTTAACGTTAAAAAAGTTTTCAAATAAACTTTAAAAAGTTACAAATTGAGCTTAAAAAAGTTTTAATAACGTTTAAGTAAAAAATACAAAAACAACCCCTTTACCCAATCCAAATAAAAATTAACCTCTTCCCTGCCAGTCGATCACTGCCTACAGTGACCAAAATACAGATCACAGTATTATACTGTGATTTTTTTTAATCCCTGAGGATTTTTATTTATTTTTTAACCCTCAGGGGTTCAATTTATTTAATTAATTTAAATATTTTATAACTATATATTTTGCTAGTTGGGGTGGGTGGGAGTTATGGGAAAATGGGGAATTTACGGTTAGTGCTGCTTACTGCTAGTTAGGGGTTAATGGTAAAAAAAAAAGCTTAGAAAAATGTTTTAAGAAAGTTTAAAAAAAATTAATAAGCAAAACAAAAGTTTAAAAACTAGTTTTTAAAAGTAAAAAAGTTTCAAAAAGTAAAAAAAAAACATTTAAAAACGCTCATTACCACTACACCTGGAACAAACTAGAGAAAAAATGATCCCACGCTAAGGTTCAAAATATGCCTTTTGAATTACCCCAGCCCCCAGCGTGTATTCTTTAATAAATAGTATGTGTTTGTGGGGAAGTTTCAATAACCAACCGTCGAAACTATTCCAAATTGGAACATGGACACAGCGTAAAACTTCAAAAAGTTAGAAAAAAACTGAATGGCTGTGTCTCAAATGCGCCCCTTCAACATCCACATATACCTGGCAAATGTACATACGGGGGTATTGCTGTACTCAGCCGACATAGCTGAGCAACATATGAAGTATTATACAGTGGTAGCACACATAAGGTTTGCAAAATATACTGTGCAAACTCACTTTGTGTGTCAAAAAGGCAGAAAAAACGCTTATTACCACTACACCTGGTACAAGCTAGTGGAAAAATGATCCCACACTAAGGTTCAAAATATACCTTTTGAAATACCCTGGGGTGTCTACTTTAAGAAATTTTAGGCCTTTGTGGGGTAGTTTGAATTTAAAACCTGCGAAGATGCTTGGAAATTGCACATAGGCCCAGCGTCAAAATTCAAAGTTCGGTAAAAACTGATATGGCTTGGTCTCCTATATGGCACTGTAGCTTCACGAAATAGTGCCAAAGACATTCATTGGGTGTGTCTTTTTACTCAGAAGACTTAGCTGAGCATAATTTCGGAGGTTTGAACTTAGTGGAACATATGAAATATACAAAATGGCCAGCAAAAATGCAATCCATATGTAAAAAATGCACAAAATTATTTACCACATACTTCGGCATATATTGGTGAAAAAAATGGGGGCATGTTAAGGCACAATATGCTCCTTATGAGATACCCTGGAATGTCTACTTTTACAAATGGTAGGCCTTTGTGTTTTTTTTAACAGTCAAACTGTTATAATACCCCAAATGGAAGCTAAGGCTCATTAAATCCATCTCACAAAATTCTACTGTGAATACTGAAAAGGACAGGTCTCCTATATGGCACTGTAACTTCACAAAATAGTGCCAAAGACATACAATGGGGGTGTCGTTTTACTCAGCAGATGTAACTGAACACAAAATAAAACTTTGTACAGGAATAGCACACACCAACTTTCCAAAATATACTTGAGAATTTCTTTGTTATAAGTTTGTGTGCCAAAACCCCCCCACAATTTTACACCAATATTTAGCAGAGGTTGGTGGTGAAATGGCTACGTAGAAAGTGTCAAAACAACCTTAGGTAAATAGCCCGTGATGCCTACTTTATATAAATATATACTTTTGTGTGGCATTTTTGTTTTCTTTTATGGCTATTAAGCTTACAAGACAAACATACCAAATTCTAAAATCGCTCCACATTACAAGTTTATTTTACTCCTTGTGCTTTGTGAACTGTAACCACAAAAAAAAAAAAAAAAAAAACCCTTTAAATCCCAGCCACATTATATATTCTGTAAATCAGAACTAAATAATTTTTTAGTTTCCTTTACCTGCACTAATTGTGCACACATTATTGCAAAAACTTAAAAAAAGCATTTTACATTTTTTTTGCATTTTTCTGTATTTTTTTTAATAATAAATAAGCATATATATGTTACATCAAATTAAAGCCCTTTCTGTCCTTTAAAAAACGGTATATAATATGTGTCGGTGCAATAAATTAGTAAAATGCAAATTGCAGTTGAACGCAAACAGCAAATAATTTAAAAAATGCTGTTATCATTAAGTGAAAGACCAGCTTTTGAAGCTCTGTCCTTAAGGGGTTAATGCATGCTACTAAAAGTGCCAATAAGTCTGAAATGTATGTTCTTACCCATATTGTAAATTAAAATGCTAAAACGACTCCCAAAACTTTGTATGGACTACCAGAACAATAACCCCCCACAAAACTCCTGAGTGCAAACTGGTTTAGGCAGAGTTATTTATTTATATAGCGACAAATTCCTTAGCACTTTACAATTTATCATCTCCCCCACAGAAAGAAACTGGAACACACACATTACGTCATAGGTAAAATCTCCACTAATTACTGGATAACCATCGTAGCAGATCAGGTGTTTATACCTGATCTAGTGTTTTCTGTGATTCCCCTCCCGCCCCCCATTGCTGTATTTGCTCCCAATATCGCTTTCTTCAATGTCTAATTTGCTTTAGATTGTAAATGCACAAAGTATCTTGTATAACACCGTCATATAATAATAATAACCGCTCACAGGGTATCATGTATTACACCGTCATATAATAGTAATCACCGCTCACAGGGTATCATGTATAACACCGTCATATAATAATAATAATCACCGCTCACCGTATTACACCGTCATAATAGTAATCACCGCTCACAGGGTATCATGTATGTCATATATAGTAATCACCGCTCACAGGGTATCAATAGTAATCACCGCTCACAGGGTATCATGTATTACACCGTCATATAATAGTAATCACCGCTCACAGGGTATCATGTATTACACCGTCATATAATAGTAATCACCGCTCACAGGGTATCATGTATTACACCGTCATATAATAGTAATCACCGCTCACAGGGTATCATGTATTACACCGTCATATAATAGTAATCACCGCTCACAGGGTATCATGTATTACACCGTCATATAATAGTAATCACCGCTCACAGGGTATCATGTATTACACCGTCATATAATAGTAATCACCGCTCACAGGGTATCTTGTATAACACCGTCAGATAATCACCGCTCATGCTAGTGTTTCACATTAGACTGGAGCAGTAGAGTTTAAACGACATCGTGTTTGTGGCCACCCCTGTTTTGAAGTCCTAGCCCAGATTTTAAATGTAGAAAATAAGTATTTGAGTTCAGTTTTGTGCACGTTTTGAGTGTAGATATTTTCTTTTCACTATGTAAACTGTTAGTCCATGTGCACATCAGTAAAATTAAGAAAAAACAATTCTCTTCTTCTCACCAACCATCCTTACTGTTTTTTTTAACATTTAAAGGACCACTTCAGGCACCATAAACAAAATGAAATGATTAAGCAAAGCGGTCCCAGACGCTGGCTTATCTTCCGCAGTTAAAGCAAGGCTTCCATCTGGTGCCTTCACTTCCATTCCAGTCCGAGACTTCAACTTTTTACTCCACTGAGTGGTGAGCTACTATTTAACAGAGAACTTCCAACTCTCACAGTAATGGTGACCAGCAGAAATCAGGTAAGCGGTTTGACGATGTACATTGGGGACAACAGGGTACTCCTGGCACCATAACAACTATAGAGCACTGGAGTAATTTTGATGCTTCGAGTGTGTTCCTTGGAATATTCACAATACTCTGCATTTATACTGATTTGTCTAGTTTTATATAAAAATATATACTATAAAGGCTATATTTTGTAACGTGCACTGGCTAATGTTTAAGAAAAAAAAAAAAGGAAAATACTATTTGTATGCGAAGGCCAGTGACTAAAAGACAGAACTCAGTCTTGCAGATAGTCATGTGGGGCTTATGCAAGCAACTTACAACATATTCAAGCTACACTTTGTAAACCTGGTCGCTTTAAAGGAACACTATAGGAATATAGGATTCGTGACTCTAGTGTTAAAAACTGCCCACAAAAAATACGACAAACAGGAAGTTTCTGCTGGGTTTTCAACTCCAATGTCCTGGAATGTTTGAAAACGAACATTTTTACATCAGAAATCAGAGATGGCTTTGTGCATAATGTTTTGCAGTCTCCCAGTAAAACGCAACCAGTGTGTTCCATCACCAGGAGCTCCCAGCCTGCGCACATCAGGCACTTACACAGCACCCGACATGATTAAGAAGGTGGAACGCCAGTGCTTTCCACTAAGAAGAAAAAAAAAAAATAGAGAGCTGGAACCACTATGACTCAACCTCCTCAGCCGCAGGCAGCACACCGTGTTCCAATCCACCCGTGAATGCCTGCTTACTTACCTGCCAAAAATTGGGGTTTGCTTTTCCTGCTGTCTAGATATACCTACAAGACGAGTTGTTTTGGGGGGGGGGGAGGTGGTATCTATTTATTAATTGAAGGGGTCTTTCCTATGGGAAAGCATCAAATTGGTCATCAATTCTGAAGATGTCAGTCAAAGAGTTAAGGCGGTGGTAGAGCTAAACACCACACTGGCCAATCAGCATTTCCTCAGAGGATACATTGAATCAATGCTTTCCCATGGGGAATGTTCAATGTTATGCAGCACTGACCCAGCAAGCTCCTATAGTGGCCGTCTGACAACCAGTGGAGGTGTCCCTAGGCAGCAATGTAAGCACTAATGTTTGCAGGGACTGACTATACTCACAAGAACTACATTAAGCTGCAGTTCTGGTGACTATAAGGTCCGTTTAAGTATTTTAGTAATTCACAAACTCCCAGCACTGATCTTCTTATATTGCATGTTTAACCCCTTAAGGACACATGACATGTCATGATTCACTTTTACTCCAGAAGTTTGGTCCTTAAGGGATTAAATAGAATTGCCTGAACGGCAAAATTAATGGAAAATGTAAAGAACGGCAGAGTACAAGAGAACATGGAAATTATTCATGAATACAAGTGTTCAAATCACATTATCAACTGAGTCAGTAATTGTGGAGACACCTAGCTGGCCCTGAATACACAATTCAGTGAACAAATCTCAAAATTAAATATGCATACAAACTGTTGGGCTAATTTGTGATGTGGTAATCAAAGCATTGAGACATCAAGTTTTTTCCCCCTTCAATAGTGACATTTCATGGTGTAGGCCAAACTGGAAACACTACTTCAAGCATTCTTCCAATTTGACTATTTTGGCCTCAGTTTACTTTGAATTCTTACTTTAGTGCAGGAGTGGGGAAACCTTAGGCCCTCTAGATGTTGTGGACTACATCTCCCTTGATGCTCTGCCAGCATTATGGCTGTAAGAGCATAATGGGAGACGTAGTCCAAAACATCTGGAGGGCCAAAGTTTCCCCATCCCTGCTTTAGTGGATAACCCTGATTGTATTCAAACGAACGTGTCAAAGAACATTGAAGAGACACAGATTAATCCAATATATCTTCGTAAACGCATGTTGACAGGGTTGAAGACGTCCAGTTGAGTGGGACAAGAATTTGGACTGGAGAGAAAAATAAAAAACCAAAAAAATAAAGTCGCTAAAAAGACTACTTAACACTGTTATGGCTTTATTCAAAAACAAAGTTGCACATTTAGAGAATCAAAAAGTAACTGATCACACTATATACATACTGCCATAAAAGAGTATTTAAAATAGGACAAATCCCCTCTGCAAATATAAAAACCCACCCTTATAGATTTCCAAACAGAAAGAAAATAAAAAAAGGTTAAGGTTATCTAAGAGGCCAATGCGCTTGTTCTATAGAACTTTTTGCTTCTAGGACGCATTAAATGGCTAACATGATACAACATAAGTAACAGTTTTTTGGTATGTCACACTTGGCCTAAAAATTGTGGTTTAAGAAATTTGAAGAAAAAGCTTCCATAGCCATGCATCTGTGTACTAAACGCTTTAAGAACTATGTGCCGTCTGCTCCTTAGATGTGCAGCGGAGTAAAGGTTCTAAGTAGAGGTTGCCCACATCAGTTTTAAACGAGGATCGCCAATCAGGAGTGCATATACAAGACTTGCATCTGCCAACTTAGGGCAATGGGCATTGCCATTTACAATTACCAAGGCTCAAATGGCCCTGCAATAGGAAAGGCTTTTTTAATGGTTTCCCGTTTCAGAACATGTAAAGGCGCAGATCTTGGCATTTTTCCTAAGATATGATGGAAATCATGTCAAACAGGTCACTGTGTGAAATGATATCTGGGCGTTTTCTGAAGGCAGTTGTGTTTGAATGAAATTATACTAATGGACATACAGATACATATATGACTGAAGTATGCATTTCTGGTGTTCATGAGAACGTTCAAGCGTGACATACACACTCTGATCTGTATTTGGCAGATTGCAGACAGGACACAGCATATCACCTCACAAAGGCCCGAAGCACAAATGTTCATCTCTAATAACATAGCAAACGGAAGTTGATTAACATACTGTGAGGTAGACCACTATCAATAGCTCTGACAGCCACAGTTGGCAATACAATAATTCATGTATTTATTGTGTGGATTAATTATATATACTAATAGGGCTGAAGAATTTACCAGCATTGTACAGAGCAGACCGTCAACTGTTCAGATTCCAAGTCATGAATCCACGTAAGAGCTTTATAGCTTTTGGGAAGAGTTAAAGAGCGGTTAAATTTGCTGATCCTGCTAAAGTCAAACAAGTTTTGGAGAGATTATTTTGTGCAATAGACAGTCTAAGAATAAAGCAGCTGCAAAGTTTTCCCAGAGTTCTACAAAGGAAAGCTCCATTAAGCCCTTCACCAAGCAATTCTTTTAAACACTATTCCTAATGTTCCCATACCCCAGAATCATGTATACACACTTAAATTGGAAATTAGTTTTGTACATACAACTGGGAGCAATCATAGGGTTCAGCACCAAGCCGGAGGCTCAGACCAGCCAAATAGCCAATTTGGAAAGGAGTTACATTGCCCCCCCTCCCTGTGAGATGGAGGCAGGATTAATTTAATAAAAAAAAGCCTTCATTGCAAACCTCAAGCTGCACATACATAACACGACAGTCACAGCCAAAGAAACACAGGCATACACAGATACACGCTAGCCAATCACACAGTTACCAATACGGGTGTGTCAATGTGCGATGAAATGTGTATACAAAGGAGCAACATAGGTGCAAGCTGAGGGTGATGGTATATTATGTATTTGTAGCTTCATTATTAGGTAAATGTAGTTTGTGTCCAAGCAGAATTTTAATTTCCATTAAATAATGTGCCATCTACATGTACTGAAACAAAAATACAAGCTTTACTTTTCAGGACACCCTAAGATTCAGGTGGTGTCCTATCCTCCCCCAACTTCATAATAGAAAGGGTTAAACAATAGCTGTTGATATAATGCAAGATGATAGGACAAAATTTGTAGATAATCACTAGGTGATTAGTGGTGCATTCTCAATGCACCACTGATATGATCCCACAGTTATGCCATCATGATTAGCTTTCCTAGAGACAGAATAAAAAAAATATTGCCTTAATACACTGAATGTTTTATTAAAAGTTACTAAGCATCTGAGCAATGAGGAAAATACCAAAATAAAAAATAAGCAAGAGCCGAGCTCCATCAGATCGATTGAATTTTACCAACACATCTGCGAGCTGATAAATCGTGCAGAAAGCGTTAGCTCTAAATGTAGAATTTGCAACTAATCAACACAGTTTGTGATTCTTTCTGAATGAACTGCGCTCATACTGGCAGCACATGAATTATAAGGTAGCCGTTTTCGTTTGCTGCCCACCAGCATGTAGTGATCTATTCCAGGGAGTAATGGTGTGTTTGCCAACACAAGGGGGTGAGGATAATTCAGATTCAAATGAGTCAGCAAGTTGAATACATGGTTTGGGCATGGCAAGAGTCTGTTTATTTAGGCTTTCATAACAAAATGAGTGATTGCCAAAGCATGTATTTTAAATAGCTCACATCTCCAGAGTTTGATGGGTTAAAATAAAAAGTACATTTTAGTACACAGAGCATTTCATAGATATTTTACCTATGTGGATCTCATTCTAATAATTTTTACACTGAGTGCCAGCAGTGATTAATCGTCTAAACAGGGCCAGCATTCAATGGACTTGGGGGAATCAAACCAGAAATTAATATTTCCAACTTTTAATGCATTGGTTAGTGAGTAACTCCAAAATATCAAACCTTTTTATCGCAAAGATAAGACAAATTTACCTATTAAAATCAATGGCAATGACAGCCAAAAAAGCTTAAGAGCTGAAGCATACCCTGCCTAAACAAGTAAAATAAAGGGTGCTAGAACCACACATTTCGTTTCAAATGCATTAAACTACAAAGGGGCAGCCCCATAAGTATAAAGCATCAGTGTGGTGTCTAGAAGTCATTCAGCATAGTCTTTATGGTTTTGTAAAACCTTTAGGTTATAAGAGGAAAAAACACTTCACATCTCAACACCAATGACAAATGCTGTAATTCCCAAACAAACCTGCAATGCATGATGGGGAAGCCCTCCAGAGCAGGGATTGCATTACATGTGGGCAGGAAGGACGTTTCTATAGAATATTACTAAGAGGATCTTACATCTTATTTGGAATGATAAAAAGGGCACAAAAATTGTAAAACCACAGCTTTCCTATAAAAAGTTACATGTTAAATTCTGTAGGGACATCTATTTTACATGTAAAGACATACAGATCTGTATTCTAGCATCAACCCCAGGGCTCAGAAAAGGGACTGGTCCTAGTCTTTCACACACACAAACACACACAAAATTGCTTCAATCTTCATCTTCATCCCCTTCATCTTCGGGGTCCCGTTTCCTCTTTTCTCCCCGGTCAGCAGCAGCTTCCTCTTCATCTATGAAAAAGACAAGTTACAGATTGAGGAGCTTCAAAAAGAAATTATGTGCACGCGGTGCTCAAAAAGCAAATGCTCTTGGAACATTTGTTTACAGCACCTTCCTCAATTAAATTCTCCATGAATCCTTCAATGCCTTGATGATACTCTGTATAGTTTGAAAACTGCTTATTGTAATCATGGTTGTACAGCCGACACCATTAGTGGCATTAGACAAGTTGGGGACCAGACGTTTAAAGCCTTGTTGAGAGGATAGAAATCTGTCAGACATCCCTCCCAAAACTAAACCATCAAGGAATATTAGAGCCGGCATATCTCCCAGACAGGCTGACAGAAGCATAGGTGAGAGATCATTAAGTTGCCCTCTCCTCCCCTAGTGCAGGGAAGCTTAAAACAAGTGTTCCTGACAGCAAACTTAAAGGGACACTCCAGACCACTTCTGCCCATTGGAGTGTTCTGGGTGCCAACTCCCACTACCCTTAACCCTGAAAGGTAATTATTGCAGTTTATGAAAACTGCAATATTTACAGTTGCAGGATTAACTCCTCCTCTAGTGGCTGTCTACTAGACAGCCACTAGAGGGCACTTCCGGGTTTATAGCACAGATTTTCTGTGCTATAGCGTTGCTTGACGTCCTCACGCTATGTGAGGACCTCCAGCGTTGCTGAAACCCCCATAGGAAAGCATTTTGAATGCTTTCCTATGGAAAGGTCTAATGTGCGTGCGCGGCCTGCGCAATAGGCCTCCCCCGCCAGTTGACATCGGCAGGGAGGTAGGGGGAATTTGGGCGGACCCTAAACCAGCGCCGAAGGACATCGCGCTGGATCCAGGTAAGTCACTGAAGGCATTTTAACCCCTTTAGCAACTCCCCTGGGATGGGAGTTGGAGGGAGAGGGGACCTGCAGTGCCAGGAAAACGGTTTTCCTGGCACTGGAGAGTCCCTTTAATTTACTGATGTAACTTCACAGATTTAAATACTATACTACAGGATTACAATGCATCTTAACTTTGTACTACCCAAACATCTTGCAAATGTATAACTACAGTTAGGAGTTTTTTTTTTAATTCCTTAACATTTGCTGTGGTTATTTTTAGTGATAAAGACGAGAAACAATGAGTCCACAGGAAGCTGCTAATATTCTGCAATGTATAGCACAAACACGTTCAGGATCGTTAAATGCTGCAAAGCACATGGTGAGCTGGTGCCCATTGCCAGACGTCCTGTAGTACGAGGAGATTTGTTACAAGATGTGCTTTTCTGACTACAGGAGGCTGAGGCTTGCATCTCATACAAAATATGAAGATCAGACTCAAGTTTCTCTCAATCTTGAATTTCACGTACCTTCCTCCTCCTCGTCTTCCTCTCCTTCGCCACCATCTTCAACATAATCATCGTCGTCTTCCTCATCCTGATGTGGTAAAAAATCCTGTTAATTCAGTAAACTGACGTGTGTGATTGTAAATAGGGAAGATATTAGAAAGGTTTCAGTATTCTCCATATAAGAAACTTTCACATCTGCCGTACACAGATGTTATCAGAAGTACGTCCTCTGGCACTGCATCTATAGTGTGTAATACTAGTAATTAAGGCAAATTTACTTGAAAGTGATTGCTCACAGACAATGAGGGTTATTGTTGCTCTAGGATTGTGCTCGTGATAATTTATAAATAAATCTGCATAAATGGAGTCCGTTATACATTGGAGACTTTCTATTGTGCACTAAAATATTCAGTCTTTATTCGTTTATTCCTCAGATTATTTTGCTCTTTTATCCGGACGATTTTACCATTGTTTACAATCACAAAATAGTCACATGAACAATATGACTAGGAAAAGGACTCCTCTAGAATGTGTAGTTTGTGACTTGCTTGACTTCACTAGCTCCAACAATATTCCACCCTAATCTTGCTGCAGACTCAATTTTATTTACACACACTATATACATAAACCCCCCCCCCAAAAAAACACTTACATGAATTTCATCTTTCATTAAATAGGACAGCCCAACTTCCTCCTCCTCTTCCTCCTCTTCTCCTAAATCTGATTCAGCATCATCATCTTCCTCTTCATATTCACCTGGAGGCCCGGCTTCATCCTCTTCATCCTCTGCATACTCATAGCCTTCCACTTCTGCAAAATAATGACATGTTCAACAAAGCCAGACAAAAAATATTTCATAAAAATCGGTCTGATAATGCATCAGTTTCGAGTGGCAGCAAAACCAGATCAGGTGTAAACTAAGATAGCTCAGTACGAAAGGAAAAGGGTCTTTCACTAAAAAAAAAAAAAAACAACCCAAGTCTCCATTTTGTCCCCCAACTGATTTAGTACTTCTGAAATTAAGGGTTCGCTAACGTTACGTCAATAGAAAGTTGGACTTTATTTCAAAGAAGAGCGTTTGGTATGCTGACTTTGTGAACGCATACAGTAAATATGTATTAATGCTTTTCAGAAGGCAGTTATGTGACCAACAAAAATGTAAGAATAGAATTTTTCAAATATTTCATAATTATATTTAAAAAACAAAAAACACCTTCATCATCCTCATCGTCTTCAGAGTCGGGAGCCTCATTATCATCCTGATCAAACCCATCCAGGTACGTGATCTGTGGAAGCCGCTGGAAGATATTTTCTCTGTAATCGTCAAGGTTTGTGACCTCACAGTTGAAAAGGTCCAAGCTCTTTAAATTTTTTAAATTTGTCTAAATAGGAGGGGAAAATAAAGCGTTCATTAAAAATGACAAGCAAGTGAAACCACTGCAGATGAGATCCTTCTTTTCTATTGACAAACTAAGTAGCCACGGTCTAGCAGGAGACTGCTGTGCTAGGTGAGCAATAAAGTGTAATGTTCATAATGAGAGTGTTGTAGATAGAATAAACGCATGATGTTAAGGACCACTAAGACCACCAAGTTATACAAAATTAGTGTACACTGATGCAGAGGCCATGGTGTAAAAAATAAACATGTGATCCATGGAGGAGAATGAGAAACACTTACAAGGGCTTCCACCGTGCTCAGATCCTTAATCTTGTTTCCACTCAAGTTGAGGTAAGTGAGGTTAGGACACCTTTCTGCCAGTACATCCAGGCCACCAGAAATGCTGTTATCACTGAGCTCTAACTGGGAGGTAGGAAAAAACAAGTTATTAGGAGAACACCATGGTTGTATTCAGAAACAGGGATGGGGAGAAATCTTGGCCACAGGAAGCTGCTCACAGTGTCTCCCAAATCATAATAAAAAGGAGGTAAATTACAGCAAGTGGAAGCCCTGTGAAGCCAAGTGGATGAACTTGGAAGGTCTGGCCAGTTACGGCAAATAGAATCTGGATAATGTTGGCTTTTTGAGTAAACTACATGGTTTTGGACAAAACCAAAAGATCACAAAATTATGCCACTTTTTTTAATTTGAAAATCATTACCAGAGTTACTTTTGACTAAAGAGTCCCAAATTTGATCCGAATGCCTTAAATTCAACATAACGTATGCTCCAAATTGGGTTACTGTCCATAAAATGTTTAAAAAATTTGGACCTTCAGAAACTGCACTTTCAATCTTTTCGCAGAAAAGTTCTAATAGCCATCATGATAAATAGTTAAGGTGGATACTTACTTTACGGAGTTTAGGCAGTTTGGGGAGTTTTGCAAGAGAGGTCAGCTCTACGTTGGCCATGCTAAGAAATTCAAGCTCTTTGTAGCCATCGCTCAACCCTTCAATCTCGCTGGACCGACAATTGTCCAATACCAACTCTGTCACCTAAAGAGAGAAAGCCAATTAATACATGCATCGGCCTCACTGAGACTAGACTACTGTGAGATATTAAGTCTCAGTGCATTTAGGTATATACACACACACCAAAAAATTGAGCATAAAAAAACCAAACTAATTCCCAAATATTTGTCTTTAACCAAAAAAAAAAAACACTCCATTTATGCAGGAAGAAGGCAAGACAGTATACCCCATCACATTGTCTTTTGAGTAGTAAAAATGTTTGTTGCTGCAGATTTGTAATATGTCTGAGGAATGAGAGAGTGCCTCTTATTCCCTTAGGGATCACTATAGGGTCAGGAACACAAACATGTTAAAACCCCCATCTATCCCCCCCAAGTCATAAATCTTACTGTATTCAATCCTGAAGCTGTAGATCTGCATGCTGTTTGGGTCAGAAAAACAAGCTGTCTGCTGACATCAGAAGTGGTGGCCTGATCCAATCAAAGTGGCCAGTGAAGTTATCACTAGGCTGTAATGTAAACACTGCATTTTCTCTGAAAAGAGTGTTTACAGCAAAAAGCCTGAAGGTAATGATTCTACTCACCAGAACAAATTCAATAAGCTGTAGTTCTGGTGACTATAGTGTCCCTTTAAGGATTTATTGAACACCATCTATTTCCCTCACAGGAATGGGAAAAAGTATGTCTGGAGGGTTATCGCATCTGAACATAGAGTATTTTATTTAATGCACATATACATTTTCTACAGTACTATAATTCATAAAAAAGTGCTTCTTTACAAAAATATACCACAAAAAAACAGTACAATATGGCTTGTTCAGGCTGGAAGTCAGCCCTATTAAATGCAAAATTCCCCATTTTAATTCCTGTAGGGAGTTATATTTACACTAACAAATGGCTTACATCAACAAACTGCTCATCCAACCAGAAGTCTCAATCTAGCCAATGGAGCCTGAAATTATCCCACAAACTCCTACCCAGCATGGGGTTTAAAGGGAAGAGATAATCCTGAAAATAAATAATTTTCTAGACTGTAGGATACCTTCTATCGCTGTCAGCACTGCTCACCCCCATTTACTGCTAAAAATGTAAGTTTAATAAAGATAGCCTCCAGACTCCTTTGCTACAGCTGCCCACACCACCTTTAAAGACGACAACAATTCAATGCGTCTTCTAGAGACGCAAACTGAAGAAACTCGTGCCCAGGCAAAAGGAGTGTTCCGCCATTTAAAAGCTACCAGGAGATTTACAGGACCAAATCTGACTTGTAAAAGAAACCAGTGTGAGGTGATAAATGAAAACACGTTTACTCCTATTTTAACATACATTATAGTGCAAAGGCCATTCAATGTGAATTAGCTTTGTAGTATGAGGTTGTATATTCATGCAATATTTAAAATTTTGTTAATGAAGTCCCTTAAAAGGAACACTATAGTCTCAAGAATACAAATCAATGCATTTCTAGTGGCAGTCTGAGTGACAATGTAAAACAAGTTAATGGAACCTGTTTAAGCAGAGATAACATGCACTTTATCAAAGAAAAAAAAATATACAACACTCCTAAAAAGACTTTAATCCTATGGTTGTAGTGCAAAGCTACACACAATGAACACATTGCAATAATCACATTATCTATGTATTTTTAATGGTATGCAACAAAACTAGAATAACTTATCAATAAGTATGAAATTTTCCCATAGCTGCAAATAAAGATAAAACCAGCAAGAACGAATCTCACCGTTTAAAAATGTTTAGAGTTTTGCCGACTAGTGACCCAATTAAATTCACTATGCGGGGTATCGAGTGTTACTACCGAGTATGTGTAGGTTCACTAGTGCCCCATAAGGATCTCTGTAGTTCCACTAATGACACTGTCAGCAATGATATAGATAAAAGTTTGCTCACACAAGTGAATTAATCAGCTTATAAGTACAGCTCACTTACATGAGCAGATCCAATTGTTTTCCCCGTGAAAGGTACTTTGCATGCTAGTTCTGTGTGTGCGATCGGTCAGTGATTTACACTGGAAGTCAGCAGGTTTTTCTGGGAAAGGAACAGCAAAACCATTTCAGATAGGGTACATCATTTCATTTTGGAGGGGAGAGGGCACATGGTGAAACAAGGATGCTTTTTAAAAACTAAATATCTTCAAGCAGGCATGTCAACCTATGTAAATAAGCTATGAGCTTTCATCCCATCAGGGAAGGTGTATTTAATGCACATATACATTCAGATGACATAACAGTCGTGCCTTATTTGCCACGAGAACGTTAATATACATCAGTGTAGATTATGTGCCTGAAGATCTACTGCAATACAAGCTATATGGATACAAGAATTTCAATACAGTATTGGGATCTTGGTACAGATGACATACAAAGCAAGAGTCTGTATAAAACCGCTATTTCCTTTGCTGGTGGTTGCATGTTTGTTACTGTAAAGACACAGGTCTGCTTAACATTCAATTCCCAATTGGATGAGTGGGACGACAGCAGAGGACAGCCACTCCAACCCTTTTGGCAGATCAACCTTGGGTAGATTTGCCCTCTGAGGAAATGTATGTGTGTCAGCGCTGCCATCAGCTAGTAGAGTTACTGGCGTCAAACACCTTTTCTCTAATCAGGAAATGCACTCACCAAACTTACTACAACATCTAATCATTGTGCACAGGTTTGGATGCTCAGTTATTACATGTCAGAATATAAACAAACTGTAAACACTAGTGTAATAGATTGCAATTTAAGGCTCTGCAAAGGGTTGGTGGGATTGTGTTAACACAGGCCTGCAGTAATCGGAACAAAGCCCCCCTACTGTAAACTGTGAGGCCATTGCATAGGAAGGAGATTTCTGTATGAGATGACCTACATCCTGAAACATCTGCTGAGAGCAACAAGTCACCGTTGGCGGGTGCTTGCTGATAGCAGGCAAGTGGGGGCTGCAGGATGATCACTCCAGCAGCAGCAGCCCAGGCAAAGCAGAGTCACTATTACAAGACCAGACCACCACACAAAAACACATGTCAAGACAGACACTGAACTACTAAAAGACAGCTGCACAAAACTCCCTTACTGACCAACAAGCTGCAGGAAATGCACAAACGGAGGGCCAGCTGGCTTGTGCAAGCCCAGAGGATATGTACTGATAAGTGTGCATTCGTGAGCCTTTATAAGATGCTAATAAAAAAATCTTGGAAATAAAAAAAAAAAATCGACCAACCTTTAAACAGTAGGCTTGTCGACCCTATAGATTTATTAAATGTGCATTATGGGACTAGGTTGAGAATATTGAAATATATAGTTCTGTCAAAGTAATAAAAATGCATAAAGCAATGCTTGTCAGAAAGAGGCAGGAAAAAGATGGCACAGGACCAACCTCATTAAATCTGTCTAAAGTTATATCTTAAAGGGATGGCATCTTGAATTCACATCTCAGAGTGTATATGTGGATAGATAGATTATATCATTTGCCATCCATGTATTATTACTGGTATTTATATAGCGCCAACATATTCCGTGGAGCTTTACAATATTATCAGAGGGGAGATTTAACAATTACAAAAACTTACATGAATAGGTTGAAGAGGGCCCTGCTCAAATGAGCTTACAGTCTTATATGTGCAATATCCCAAAGGCTGCAACACATGGTACCAACCCAACCAACAGTAGCAGGAAATGTGTGTAGCCAGACAAAAAGAACACATGAAAAGTTGGCAAAGACACAGAAAGGGAGTAGAGAAAGGGTGCGACCTTACACACATAACCCCACCTTTAAGGCGTAAGGAGTGGAGCCTATGCTCTCAAACCATCTCCCCTGTTGGTGACTGAAGGCAATCGCCTAATCTGTCTGTGGCCATTAGATAGGCTGAACGCAAGAGCAGCCATGATCGCTTTCCATGTGCTCCTCTCACTACAGTATGCATGATACAGCAACTTCACGGCTATTTGCAGGTAAAAAACCAGAGCATAACTTCATTTGGCGCAGTGTTGAAGGATTAAGCAAAAATCTATTTGCAAACTGTATAAAGCCACTTGAGATTCACACTCTTGTGACAGCATGATCTACAATCTGTCCCTGGGAAGGGGGAACTACAAAAGTAACTTTCCTGAAGGCACAACTTATTTATATCTCTGGAGACCCAACCCCCAAAAAACAACAGTTTAATAAGAATATAAAAAATTAAATAGTCCAATCAGGGTGTGTATTAAGGTGATTCTGGAATAAATCCCATATCAGTAATAGATGGCTGCCAGAAAACACTACATATCCTTTTGCAACAATCCGTTAATAACATGAAAAATAAAATGGTAATAAGCTCTTTAAACTGAGTTTAATCACAAACAGTAAGGTCATTTGATATGTTTAAGCAGTATTTTCACTTGTCCCCTGTTGTAGAAGAGAAAGACACCAACTGCTCAGTTTCCTGTACGAGCTGTTGCGTGCACCCATGGAGCCAACAGGTGCATAGTGATACAATGGCTCCCAGACATGACAAGGGTGTACCAACAAAAGGACACAATACAAGGACTTCAGGCAGCCACTAGAACAATGTATCAATGACTGCACTGAACACAGACAGTGTATATATTATATTTACATTATTTGTACTGATAGGCAGCAATGCCTCCAACACTGCTTGGACTGAAAAGCATAGCTCAAACACAAGCTGCTGCCTCTACAAGGAAAAATTCATTAAAACCCCATTCCAACACTGTATCCAGGAGAGCTTCATGGTGGACAGCTTTAGCATGGTGTCAGGATAACACTTTAGGATGTCCCTTTAAAGCACCATAATCTGGTCATTCTGACGGCATGTTTAGGCCCAGGGGTTCTTTTTGAACCCCTCCATATAGCTAATCTATGCCACATTCAGCATTAGCCAGTAGATCTGCTCACACAACACATGCTGTCATTTTAGAAGTTAACACAGTCCTGTTTTAAAACAGAGGGTAAAATAATTACCCCTGAATGTTCTATTTAGACCATGGGGCTGCTGTAAGACTCAAAGTGGGGGAAGCCAAACCACATGGATAAAAAGGAATATGGAGCAGAATGCTGAATGTAGCAATTTACTGGTTTCCATAGCAACTGCTCCAATTTTAGTGTTAGGTTGTCCGGGGTGGGGGGGGAAAGAGCCCAGGCTACCCTGAGTAACGGGCCGCCCTGGAGGGGGCCCAGCTGCCCCGGCGGGGAGGGGAGGTAAGCCTCCCGTGGCTACCCCGGCGGGGTCCAGCTGCTCCCCAGCTGAGGGGCCCAGGCTGCCCTGAGGGGGCCCGCCAGGCTGCCCTGAGGGGCCGCCCGTGAGCAAAAGCCCCAGGCTGTGCCCAGCGGGGAACCAGCCGCCCGGAGCGGGGGCCCACCCAGGCCCCTGAGGGAAATTCTGCGCCGCCCTGGAGTGGGGAAAGCCCGTGCCACCCCGGAGGGGGTCCAGCCGCCCCTGAGTGCGGGGGGTCCAGCCACCCGAGTGGGTAAAACCACAGGCCGCCCCTGAGTAGCAGCCGCCCTGAGTGGGGGGGCTCCAGACAAACTTTGTGAGTGGTAGTGATGGTAAGTGAGGGGGTGCTGATCCCCACACTGAGCTCTCCTGCTCAGAGAAGCCGGCTTACCTCAGCCGGGGAGCGGTTTCTCAGCTCCAGGGTGATCCGCTTCTTCATCTCCATGTTCGGGGCTCCTGGGGGCCACACACAGCCTCACACTGCGGGGAGCGGGGGCCACACCGGGGGGAATGGACTCACGGGGAGAAAACACGCGTCACACGCCGAATGGAAGCCGGTATGGGGCCGCCCGGTCCGCTCTCCGCAGGTCTCCCTGCTCCCTCAATGGCCGAACACCAACTGAGACTCCATTACACTGCACGGGCATCCCCTCACACGGGAAACGCCCCTCCTGGGACGCCATTGGCTGCGCGCTCTGCAAAGCCCGCACTGATTGGGCGGCTGGCGTGCCAATCCAGGGCTGGGCCATAGTTTCCATAAAAGGAGCCCGCGGATTGGAGGGAAGTATGAGCGCAGTTAATTGGGATTGGTCGGCAGAACTGTCCGTCAAAGAGATCGCCCGCTGTGTTTTTTAATCGGTTGACCCAGGCGTCATGTCTTTGTGTGACTGACGCTTTCCCGCCCAATTCTAGGTCAGGAGCCATAGTGAGAGTGGGCGTGTCTAGTGTACTGAGTAACCCCTCACACACTGTGTATAATAAACAGTACATAACCCCCCCCCTCACACACTGTGTATAATAAACAGTATATAACCCCCCACACACACACTGTGTATAATAAACAGTACATAACCCCCCCTCACACACTGTATAATAGACAGTATATAACACCCCCTCATAGACTGTGTATAATAAACAGTATATAACCCCCACACACACACACTGTGTATAATAAACAGTATATAACCCCCCCTCACACACTGTATAATAGACAGTATATAACACCCCCTCATAGACTGTGTATAATAAACAGTATATAACCCCCCACACACACTGTGTATAATAAACAGTATGTAATCCATATATTTCCAATTCAATAATGTTTTCCCATTATCATGCATGGAATACAGTTGGAAAGGACACAACATTATGGTATTTTTATGAGAAAACATGCTATAAAAAGTAAATTTCAAGTGGATATTCTGGCTAGAACCTAATGTTTTAAAAAATTTAAATATAAGAAACCAAATTATCCACGAGCTATCCACATCGGTCAGAAATTAAAAAAAATAAAAACTACGTAAAACAACAAGATTATTTTACTTTTCAAACACCTATAAAAATTTTAGAAATATACATCCAAGACTTTTTTGGCCACGTTGTACGTTAAGTACCGGGGCTGTTTTAACACTTTTATGGTGTTTGTGTTTAGCGGTAATTTTCCGCTCTCTCATTTACGGTTCCCATACAAATTATATATTGTTTTTTTCGGATCAAAAAGGGCTTTCTTTACATACCATTATTTCTATCATGTCATATAATTTAATTTAAAAAAAATAATAAAATATCGTAAAAATTGAAAAAAATACCTGTTTTTTTAATTTTACTTGACAAATATTTTACTCATTTACAAAAGCTAATGAAAAGAAACTGCTGAACAGATTCAAAATTTTGTCCTGAGCTTAAAATACCCAGTGTTTACATGCTTTTTTTTTGCAAGTTATAGGGCTATAAGTACAAATAGGATATTACTGTTTCAAAACATACATTTTTAAAATTTATAGTGACATTGTAACACTGTTATCTGTCATAAATCTCTGAAAAACACCCCACATGTACATATTTTTTTTTTTAAAGTAGACAACCCAAGGTATTCAATATGGGGTATGTCCAGTCTTTTTTAGTAGCCACTAGTCACAAACACTGGCCAAAGTTAGCATTCATATTTGTTTGTGTGTTAAAAATGCAAAAAACAATTATGAACGCTAACTCTGGCCAGTGTTTGTGACTAAGTGGCTACTAAAAAAGACTTAACATATCCCATTTGCACTACCTTGGGTTGTCTTCTTTTGCAAATGGTATGCCATCATGGGGGTAATTCTCATTCCTGGGCTACCATACGCTCTCAAAGGCAACATAACCAACCTGGCAATTTTCAATGTAAAAATATTTGACCCTGTAACTTTCGAAAACACTTTAAAACCTGTAAATGGGGGGTACTGTTATACTCGGGAGACTTTGCTGAACACAAATATTAGTGTTTCAAAAGAGTAAAATGTATAAACAATTATATCATCAGTGAAAGTGCCGTTTGTGTGTTAAAAATGCAAAAAAGTAACTTTCACTGACAATATCATCGCTGTGATATGTTTTACTGTTTTGAATCACTAATATTTTTGTTCAGCGAAGTCTCCCGAGTAAAACAGTACCCCCCATGTACAGGTTTTCAGGGTGTCATAGAAAGTTACAGGGTTAAATACAGTGCTAGCTAAATTTAAATTTTCAGGATTTTCGGCCTGGGTTGGCAGGCAGGTCCCTCAAATTGCAATCAATAAAATTACTCATGTAAAAATATTACATAAATAAGCACGTAGAATTTAGATATATATGCATATTTATATATTTGAAGTCTACGTTTATATTTATGAAATTATGTAATTATGTATATGGATATATATATATTTTGTATTATTTTGATTTATTTATATACATAGATGTATATATAATTTAATTCTAAGTGTTTTTTGATAAAAATATATATTAATATCAAAATACAGTTATAATAAAATTTCATATAATATTATTTATGTTTTTTAAATTTACTTATTTGTATTTTATAATAAATATATACATATATACACACACACTATATATCGTTATTTTATATATGTAAAATATATATATATATATACACACACACACATATACACACACACACACACACACACACACACACGTGTGTAATTTAATTATAAGTGTATTTTTATATCAATATATGTATATATTAATATAAAACTACACTTAGTATGACATATATAGAAGATATATACACATATATTATTATAGACAGTCCCCCTGCAGGCAGACACTTGGACACCTATTGTGGCCACGTGACCGCTTTGTTGAGCGATCACGTGGTCGCGGGGTCCTAATCCGCTGCGGGGAGACTGCCTGGGCTGTCAGGCAGTCTGCCCACAAAAGGAGCAACACTGATCGCCGCTGGGGGAACAAATGTGATCGGGTAAGTACATATTGCTGTTATGACCGTCACCAGTCCTCAAGGGGATTTTTCCGATGACTGTCCTGAGCCATGGTCAGAACAAGGAATAAAACTGCTGGGGGATATTATGGACAAAGGGAAAATAATGTGTTTTTATCAAATTCAAGTAAAATACAACATATCCTCTAAAGAATTTTTCTCATTTATAAGAGTGACGTCTTTCCTGAAAAATACGTTAATTTTAGAACATTCTAACAGATAAACCACTAATATCCATAGATAAAGAAAAAATCATCTCAAGAATTAATAAAATATTATATTTTAGTAATGATAATGGAAAGATATAGGGAAAGACCAACTGGGAAAAAGATCTCAGGAAAACATTTGTTGGAGACATGGTTTAACTTTCAGATGGTTTAAAAAAAAAAAACAGTACATAATGTTAATTTCTGGGAAACCCAATTTAAGATTATTCATAGATGGTATCAAACTCCATATTTATTACAAAAATTTAATCCTGAAAACTCCGGAATATGATGGAGAGGTGAAAGGGAAATTTGAATTTATATGCATATTTTGTGGTCTTGTAAAAAAACGTAATGAAATCAAAAAATGGATGAAGGAGCTAATAAAAGAAGTTTTAAACATTGAATTAACTATAACCCATCATAAACTGTGTAAAATAAACTATAAACAGTGTGTAATAAACAGTATATAACCACTCAGTGTATAATAAACACGTAACCCCTCATACACTGTGTATAATAAAACTATAAACAGTGTGTAATAAACAGTATATAACCCCTCACAAACAGTGTATAATAAACATGTAACCCCTCATACACTATGTATAATAAAACTATAAACAGTGTGTAATAAACAGTATATAACCCCTCACAAACAGTGTATAATAGTATAATAGTGTATAAAAAAGTGACGTCACATCCTATAGCCAGACCCCGCCTCTTACCCTCGCACAGGGAAAGCAGGAAGTGATGTCACATCCTATCCCCAGACTCCGCCTCTTACCCTCACACAGGGAGAGCAGGAAGTGATGTCACATCCTATATTCAGACCCCGCCTCTTACCCTCACACAGGGAGAGCAGGAAGTGACTCCGCCTCTTACCCTCACACAGGAAGAGCAGGAAGTGATGTCACATCCTATATCCAGACTCCGCCTCTTACCCTCACTCAGGGAAAGCAGGAAGTGATGTCACATCCTATATCCAGACCCCGCCTCTTACCCTCACACAGGGAGAGCAGGAAGTGATGTCACATCCTATATCCAGACCCCGCCTCTTACCCTCCCACAGGGAAAGCAGGAAGTGATGTCACATCCTATATCCAGACCCCGCCTCTAAGCCTCACACAGAGCACCGCACAGGGAGAGCAGGAAGTGATGTCACATCCTAAATCCAGACTTCACCTCTTACCCTCGCACAGAGAACACAGGGAGAGCAGGAAGTGATGTCACATCCAATATCCAGACCCCGCCTCTTACCCTCACAAAGAGCAAAACACAGGGAGAGCAGGAAGTGATGTCACTACCAATCCCCAGACCCCGCCTCATACAATCACACAGAGAACCACACAGGAAGAGCAGGAAGTGATGTCACATCCTATATTTATATATACCTAGGACATACTTGAAAAACGAGAGAAATCTCAATGTATCTTTCCTGGTAAAATATTTTATAAATAAAGAAATAAATAATATTTAGACCCCCGCCTCTTACCCTCACACAGAGCACCGCATAGGGAAAGCAGGAAGTGATGTCACATCCGATATCCAGACCCCGCCTCTTACAGTCACACAGGAAGAGCAGGAAGTGATGCCACATCCTATATCCAGACCCCGTCTCTTACCCTCACACAGAGCACCGCACAGGGAGAGCAGGAAGTGATGTCACTACCAATCCCCAGACCCCGCCTCTTACAGTCACACAGAGCACCACACAGGGAGAGCAGGAAGTGATGTCACATCCTATATCCATACTCTGCCTCTTACCCTCGCACTGGGAAAGCAGGAAGTGATGTCACATCCTATATCCAGACCTCGCCTCTTACCCTCACACAGAGCACCGCACAGGGAGAGCAGGAAGTGATGTCACTACCAATCCCCCAGACCCCGCCTCTTACCCTCGCACAGGGAAAGCAGGAAGTGATGTCACATCCTATATCCAGACCCTGCCGCTTACACTCACACAGAGAACCACACAGGGAGAGCAGG